CACAAGCAAAGTACTAATAGTCCGAACTGTGTAGTTGTCTTTCTTTGTCCGAAGGCTTAATCTCTGGATATTTCTCTCTAACAGGTAAAAAAAAAAACTTTCTCTTCCTTCGAATTTTTCCCATTTATCCGCCATTTTCTTTCTCTTTCTCGCTTGATTTTCCTGAGAAAATTAAAAACATCCTTAAACCCTAGCTCAAACTCCCTTAAAAACGAACACTTTACGAATATTTATGATGACCCCTTCTTGATTTGATTATTTCTTCAGATCTATGGATCTTTAAAAAAAAAAGGTGTTTATGATGAGATCTAAGCATGAGAACAATATATAATCGAGAAAGAAGAAAAATTAATACTTTTTATTTTTTTTTCTCTCGCCGCCATTGTTGTTCTATAGTGAGCTTTGACACTTGACACCTGTTTAATCCAAAGTGAGTTTCTTTTGTTTCTTGTTGGTGATTTTTGAGGCAAACCCATTTTTTTCTCTTTATTTATTGAGATTTAATGTCATTTCTTTAGAATTAAATATCTTAGATTGTTTAATTTCTATGATTCCATTTTTAGGGCAAAGCTTCAAACAAAAACAAAAATCATTCATCTTCTTCTTCATCTAAAAATCTCTCCTTTTTTTTTTCTGTGTATTTAATTATTTATAGTTTTGCTAAAACTTTTGACTCAATTCCTAAATCTTTTATAAAATCCATATAGTAGTTATAGGTCTAATCTCTTTTTTATCTAGTATTATTTAATTTAGGGTTTCTGAAAAAGGCTCTTGAGCTATGAACCTATTTTACACTATGACTATGAACATGACTAGGCTTTGCAGAGATCTACAAATTTTGTTATTAAATTAAATTAATCTCTTATACTTTTCACTAATGACTTTTCAGGCTTTTTCTGTATCATAACTCTCTGCAACAACAAAAAGAGTTGAAACTTAAAAAAAGCATGAGAGTAGTGTTTCAATGGAGGTCGAAGAAGAAGACATTGATACAAAACAACAAGAACAAGAAACAAGCAGAAAGCTACAAAGATTCGCTTCAGACACAGAAATGAGGAACTGGAACAATCCATCATCAAGAATCATTAGGGTTTCTAGAGCTTCTGGTGGTAAAGACAGACATAGCAAAGTCTTAACATCAAAAGGTTTAAGAGATCGAAGAATCCGTCTCTCTGTAGCAACAGCTATACAGTTCTATGATCTTCAAGATCGTCTTGGATTTGATCAACCAAGTAAAGCTGTTGAATGGTTAATCAATGCAGCTTCTGAGTCAATCTCTCATCTTCCTTCACTCAACACAAATTTCAATGACCACCAAACACAAACTGATCATCAGAACCAGAATCAGACCAAATCTGCTTGTAGTAGTGGAACATCAGAGAGTTCTTTGTTGTCTTTATCAAGAAC